TTTTTTTTTTTTTTTTTTTTTTTGTGAACCTAATATTTGTAATAGAGAACTAACGGTTAATGTTTTGAAATCCTGAAATTTATTTAATAAGTTGACTTTTTTTAAGGGATATTTTTTTTATGCACACAAATTTAATCAAATCTTTAGTAATGTGTTTAAAGAATTAAGTTGAAAAGACAAAACCTATTTTGAATCTGCTTAAACACTTTTTCAGGAACTATTTTTTTCTTGAGTATGTTATTCATGTTAGAACTTGAGGAAAACATTTCACCTCCTTGACCCATTCTCATTAACCAATGTCTCGAATTCAAATTTGATCTCAAATTTGAATCTTGTATATATAAAAAATTGTTATGAAAAAACTTTCATTAAAAATAGTCAGTTAGATTCTATGGATGAAGTCTTTTTTTTTTTTTTTTTACAGCAAAAATGGATGAGATCTTAAGTTCTAATATCGATACAACCATAATAAAAATAAAAATACAAATCTATTTTTTCTTCTTTAACCAAGCAACTTTCATTCTTATTTGACTTCTTACCTATTTCATTTCTCTTCACATTTTTCCTACATACTCTCTGTTTCTCTTTATTTCCTTCCTATCTGATCATAATTGATTGCACGTGAAGATGCTTTAACGTTTAGAATACGAAATCTTTAAGTCAATTTTCATTTCGGCATCATGAAGGCGAGTTGCTTCTGAATTAATAACTCTGGGAGAAAGACGAAACCAAAGGCTACTTACATGATAATGATAGCATAAATTTCCATTTACTGCCATCTGTATATCCACATACGAACTTTAATCAAATAATGATATGATAGCCTTTTATTCCAAGAAGAAACCAACAAAATTTGTTAAGTTTAATAAAACTAAACGAAGGCCTTAAAGTTAATTCCTCTTCCATTCAACGTAACATAAAAACATGTAATGAACACATTACACAAGTCAAAATTGCTTTCTTTCAATATCTGGTGTATTAGGTTGTATCTAAAATCCAACATGCTAAAGAAACTCAACACTCAACCACATTACACATATAACTAACTAGTAACTACCATCTATCTGGTCTTGCGTGCTTTAGCTAGCTTTTGCTTTCTTTTCTTAACAGCCTTAGGGACTTTACTTTTACGTGCTTCCCTCTTCTCTTCCTTCACCTTCTTCTTATTCTCTTTCCTAGCCTCTTTTCTAGCAGCTTTTTTATCCGCAGGATCCTCTGCTTCACTTTCAGAGAATGAATCCTCTTCAGAATCACTTTCATCATCATCAGATTCACACTCACCATCACCCTCTAAGAGCCTAGATTTATCATCTGAAATGACGGATGAATCTTTTGTGGGACTTGATTTCTGCTCTTGTTGGCTTTTTTGATTTGAAGGCTGTGTTAATGACAAAGCATGTTTAAGTCCAGTAATCGTCTGGTAGTATAAATCGCCTGTGTCCTTCCCGCTTGTTATCCGTTGTACATCCTCCTCAGCATTCTTAACATCCTCTAGTGTCTTCGGAATGAAAGACTGTAATATGAGTTCAGAAAATTAAACAAGTAAGAAAGGACACAAAAGATCAATGTGCTAAACAAAACACAAAGATAGTGCTCTTAATGAACAACTAAAATCGGCCTAGTAGTTACAATTGGAGTAATATGTACAAAATTCTAAGTTTGAATCTTATTCTCATCACTGTAATCTTTCCTACTGATAAAAAAAAATAGTGCTCTGAATGACCAAATTTGAACCCCATTTTGCAACCAAACATGGCCAACAATTTATTTAAAGATAATAATTAAAAATGAAAAGAGTAGTAAGAAGTTGACATAACAAAGCAGGTTAGGTTACCTGCACAAATACAGAGTCCGCAATCTCCTCCTCTACCGACACATCTCCTCTTGCCAAAATTTTTTGTTGCATCTAGAAATATTTTGAAAACCATAGAGATCTCTTTGAAGTTGTTCAGAAAGTATAAAAAATGACAAAATAAATAACAAATACCTCTTCCAAATAACTATCCACAGCATCATCTGCAATGGATGCATCGACAATAAAATCAAACAATTCTCTTATTGTCATGACTGCTACACCATGCTTTTTAAAGAAATCCTGCAGGCAAAGAAACCACTTAATCAAACTTTTTCCATATTATCCTGACATCAGTTAAGGAAGTGGACAAGAAATCTGCAATTTATAGCTCGTAAGTGGAAGTACTCACAGATACATGAACACAATCTTCACGTAGAAAATCAAGGGCATGAGGATGTTCAGGATCAACAGCTTGAGACACATCAATAATATATAAGTGACCCTGACAGACAAATAAAGAACATATGAATTAACTATTGACAGATAGTCATTCAATCAAACAAATATAAACTGGCAAGGGGATGTTCACCTCATAATAAAGTATATTATATTCACTGAGGTCACCATGCACCAATTTGCACTTCTGATACAATGTCCGCATTGCAATAATAATCTGAAACATAAAATACTCACAATTTCAACCTCAATTATTGGATGCATATAAAAGACCTTTGGTCCCTTAGAAAATGCAAAAAAGAAGTATTTCCATTAAAAATGAAACCTAAAAAGAAATGTGTGACAAAACTTCAAAAGTTTTTCCATTAAGAATCCCTAAATGGAACTCAGGAGATAGTATAAAATTCTAAAACATTAACCATATTAGTGAACTTTTTAGTAAATATTGGCAGGAAGATTATAGCATGCAACAGCATAATATTTAAGACACCTGCTACAGGGTTCTAACAACTAAATCATGCAAGCATCACTGGACAATTATAATGATTTGACACACCTCAACATAGCCTTCCCGTAACTTGTCCAAAGATAAAGCTGCATCTTTAAGACGAGGAGCAGCCCAACCAGATTTTCCTGCAAAAACATTAAAACAACAAAAACAAAGAGAACTTCCATAAAATTTGTTGTCTGTATTATCAGAATGAGATACATGCAGCCAATAAATTGAAATTTCTATGACTGAAGATAATTTGATATTATTGAAGTAAACTAATAAGTATGAGCAGTTCCCCTTCAATACAAGTGAAAAAAGCAAGTATGCTATCTATCACTTTTTTCATTCATTTTTTTTTTAATTCTTTCTTTTATCAATGGAAGACATTTATACACTGATATTCCATACAATCAATAATAGATAATTAAGAGCAATTGATCATATATGAACAACTAATCACATCAATCACTGTCATCAGATATATTCTCAAAATACAGAACAAAAGCAATACCTATAAATTCCATAACCAGAACATGCAGCCTCAGAAGATAAGGTGTAGGACACCTAATTCCTGCT